CTGAAAAAAAATTAAAAAGATTAACCGAAAATAACAATTATATTAAACAACAAACTGAAATTACAAAGAAATGATATACAAGCAACAACCAAAAAATGAAAAATTGGAATATTAATAAAAACTGGAAACTCAAAAATAAAAAATTTCATTTACAAAAAATGAAAAATAAAAAGATTCCAAACCAAGTTACGTCACGACGTTTCGATTGTTAGTATCCACAATCGTCTTCGGGTGATAACTGGACTTATTCCTTCGAAATCTGACTATTTATAGGTCATTCGAGTGCTTTTATCTATCCCTTCTTCCCTCTCTCCGCTTTATTGGTTTTAAAGGGAGATGACCATTTGGCGGGAGTTGTTTTTTTTTTCGCTTGATTAGAGGTTTCCATATGTTACGTATCTCTACGTTAGCTTGACTAAATGCGTTGTTGGAAAACATATACGCGGCTCCTAAACCAGTGTTCCTCTTTGTGGATGATTTCAGCTTGAGCCCACTTGATGTTATGTTGATGAGTCCAAACATGCACTGCTGTTCCGGATTTGCTGGTTTCTCCTCGCTTTGTGTGTTTTTTGTGCTCAGCAATACGCACTTTCAATGGTCTCTTAGTTTCACCGATGTATGATTCTCTGCACTCGCAGGGTATCCGGTAAATGCAATTCTTGGAAACGCAGGCCGAGTTTAGTGGCCTGATTTTTGTGAGGCTACTACGGATAGTGTTTTCAGATCTGAAACAGGTTCTGATGTTATACTTGGACCCAATCCTTCTTATCCTTTCCGATAATCCTCTGATGTAGGGAAGTACAAGTACTGCTTGTGGCGGCTTCTCTTCCTTGTGGAGCTCTTGCTATCTTCTAGCTAAAGCCTGTTCTATCATCACTCTGGAGTAACTATCCCATTGAAGGTCATTTTTGATGATGCCTAGTTCGTTTTCGAGATCTTCCTTTGTATTACAGAGCCCGAAAGCACGGTCTAGTAGAGTCTTGATGATTCCTCTCTTAATCGATTGATGGTGGTTGGGTTTCTGGTTCAGATACAGTCCTGTGTGAGTGGGTTTCCAAAATACAGATGTTTCCCATTTCATGTCGGTCTTCTTCAGTGTTTGTACGAACAAACAAACATTATATCCATATCATCATTATTAGTATATGTATGTTTATTCATGTACTTCAAAAAAATCTCACGAACTGTTCTGAAGCTTTGACTCATCTTTCAATAATTTTCTCAGAATTCAGGAAGTTGCTTCACCGTTGTTTACGTTTCTGAATCAAACATGAGTGTTTTTCCATTTGACCAATTTATATTCCGTCACAGAGTTCAGAACTCCACGGGAAAAGACAGAATTTGCATTAATAGTGTTTAAGTTTTCCAGATTTTCAGATAAAATGAAGTACAGGAAGATCTGCGATGTGAATGCTAATTTTTTATTATCATATTCACTTCTACAAGATGTTTTGGAAATATATGAGAACTTGTCAGAAGTTTATGTAACTATTACAGCATCCGTTTCTTTTGATTTTTCTATAGTTTTACCAAGTGCTCGGAACAATATTATATACAGAGCAATATTGTTATACACGGAAAAATGTTA